AAAAAATTATTTTAAAAAGTAAATTAATAGGCATTTAATAGGAATATGAGGAGGACCAGAAGAGCAAAAAAAAAAAAAAAACCAGAAGAAATATTTGAAGTAAAAATGACTAAGAATTTCCCCCACCCAAATTAATGACAGACACCAGAATTCTTGTAGAACAGCAAGCAGAATAAGTGTCAAAAACCACACTCAGGTATACCAAAGGTGAGGGAAAAATCCTGGAAGAATCTAGAGGAAAGAAACAGCCTATGTATAGATGAGCAAAAATTCACCTTCTCGTACCCCATACTAGTGAGACAAGTGTATAGTGAAATATTTAAAGGATTAAGAAAACAATCACCAACCTAGAATTTTGTATTCAGTGAAATTAACCCCAAAATAAAGAAGTGAAGAGTTTCTTAGACAAGCAAATAAGGAAGACCTTTATTGCTGATGGGCCTGCCTAGAGAGAAACATTAAAGAAGCTGTTCAGAGAGAAGGAAAAAGGTATAGATCAGAAACTTGGATTCTCATAAAGACTGAAAAAGCATCAAAGAATGAGTAAGTGAAGGCAATATAAAAAGTATTTTCTTAGTTTTAATTGATCTAGCAGATAATTATTTGCTCCCAATAAAAACAGCAATGGTGTATATGATAATATATACCAATGTATATAATTCTGATAAAGGTAAAATAATAAAATGTGTCTTCCCCTTTTAAAAAATGTGCTGTAACAGGATGTCAAAGTATCATTTTCTCAATTTCCCACCAAAAAACTAAAATTGATGGAAAATATGAGATACTACATCAATAAAATATTGAGAGTAGTATTCAAGATATTGCTAGAGTCTTGGGTAGCTAAGCACTGTCCACAATTCCTGTGGAGCCTGCAGTAGTCAGCTCTTGGCAAATCTCACTTCTCCATGCTCTTGAGTCCTCCCTTCAGGTCAAAGTTCACCACAGGTCATGGCTGAACTATGCAGCTCTATTTCTGTGGCCATGATTAATTGATGTAGTGTGATCATTAGTCTTTCATCATTGTGGACTGGCTTTTTAGCCACATACATATTTGCACTCATATAATACCAACAATTGCATTATAGTCAACTCTTTCAATATTTTTATAGCTTTGCTGTCATAATTGGAAAACTTTTTCCCAACCCAGAGTTTTGTGGTTTTACATATGTATTCACCTATTGTGATTCTAGTATTTATGCTTGAAATGCATAAATACAAGTCAGTGTATAACATTGACTATTGGTTTGATGGCAATTGCTGAAACAGATCAAGAAAATAGGTTTTCACTTTTTGTTGAAAGCATTTATTGGAAAACATTTTAAGGATAATATAAAACTTGAAGCTTTATTGAATCTTAAATTGGCTGAATAAAAAAGTAATAACCTATAAAATCAACTTTAGGGGAATTTGATTATGAACTGGATGTTAAGCAATTTGAATATGGGATGTGGGCGTCTTAGTTGCTAGGTCAAGCACCCGATCAGTGTTATCTGTTTTTGCTTTGCTCTCAACGTGTGCTTTCTCAGGCTGGAAGCGATTGATTCAACCATTTACATATTAGTGTATCTTCTGAAAAAATACAACATTTTGTTTATTATTTTGTTTTAAGATTTAATTTTTAATTTATTTGAAAGGCAGAGTTACAGAGAGATCCACACACACACACACACACACACAGATCCTCCATCCACTGGTTCACTCCCCAAATGATCACAGGCTGAATCCAGGAGCCCGGAGTTTCCTCTGGGTCTCCCACATGGGTGTAGGGGCCGAAGCACTTTGGCCATCTTTCATTACTCTCCCACACCCATTAGCAAAGAGCTGGATGGGAAGTTGAGTGACTGGGTCTCGAACTGGCACCCATATGGAAATGTAGGAGGTGGCTTAACACACTACGCCACAGTGCAGTCCCTCCCAAAAAAGCCACAGTCTTAATTACCTCCATCTTCTACTACAGAAGAAGGGTAAATGGAAGGAAGTAAAAGGAAAGAAGGCAGAAAGCAAAGAGCAAAGGAATTAGTAATAAATCAAGACACAGGAAAAGAATTCATGTACAAATTCTTTTTTAAAAGATTTTATTGATTTATTTGAAGGGCAGAGTTACAGACAGAAACAGGTAGAGACTGAGAGAAAGGTCTTCCAGCCACTGGTTCGCTCCCCAAATGGCTGCAACTGCCTGAGCTGAGCTGACCTGCAGCTAAGAGCCAGGAGCTTCTTCTGGGTCTCCCATGCTAGTGCAGAGTCAAGAACTTGGACCATTTTCTACTGCTTTCCCAGGCCACAGCAGAGAGCTGGATCGGAAGAGGAGCAGCCAGGACATGAATGGGTGACCATATGGGATGCTAGCATCACAGGTGGAGGCTTAGCTGACAAACCACAGCGCTGTTCCCAGTGTACAATTCTTGAAATCTTTGACTAGTTTTTTTAAAACACTAAGAGGGGCCGGCGCCATGGCTCACTTGGCTAATCCTCCGCCTGTGGTGCCGGAATCCCACTGGGCCCTGGGTTCTAGTCCCGGTTGCTCCTCTTCCAGTCCAGCTCTCTGCTGTGGCCGGGGAAGGCAGTGGAGGAAGGCCCAAGTGCTTGGGTGCCTGTACCTGCGTGGGAGACCAGGAAGAAGCACCTGGCTCCTGGCTTCGGATCGGCGTAGTTCTGGCTGTAGCGGCCATTTAGTGGGTGAACAAATGGAAGGAAGACCTTTCTCTCTTTCTCTCCCTCTCACTGTCTGCAACTCTACCTGTCAAATAAATAAATAAAAAAATCTTAAAAATAAAAACACTAAGAAAATTCTTTAGGGGCCAGTGCTGTGGCATAGCAGGTAAAGCTACCTCCTGAAGTGCCGGCATCCCATATGGGCACCAGTTCAAGTCCCGGCTGCTGCACTACCAATCAAGCTCTCTCTGGGAAAGCAGTAGGAGATGGCCCAAGTCCTTGGGCCCCTGTACCAGCGTGGGAGACCCGAAAGAAGCTCCTGGCTCCTGGCTTCAGATCAGCGCAGCTCCGGCCATTGCTGCCAATTGGGGAGTGAACCAGCAGATGGAAGACCTCTCTCTCTCTTTCTGCCTCTCCTTCTCTCTCTGTGTAACTCTGGCTTTCAAATAAATAAATAAATCTTTTTAAAAAAAGAAAGTTCTTTAAATTTCTGACAAGTTTAATCCTAAAATTAAGGAAGCATGCATGCAAAATTTTAGAAATTAGAAAACAGGCCCAGTCAATGATATGGAGACATTAAAATTATAAATGAATTCCATGTGTAAAAATATTATGCTATTTGGAAAATCTGATTGGTATGAATGATTTTTGATAATATTGATGACTAAAATCAACTATAGGTAATTATAAGGTCAAATAAATAAATAACACTTAAAATGAATGATGATTGATGTTCTATAATGAAATCCAAGACCAGTTTTATAAGAAAATATTATCAAACATTAGAAATTCAAGGATAATTCAGAATTTGAAAATATTCCATTGTAGGGAGCTGGAGTCAGAAGCTGGAGCTAGGCATTGAACCCAGGTACTCTGATATGAGACACAGGTGTCTTAACCAGCACCTTAATTTCTAGGCTAAACACTTACCTCTAAAAACACTTTGCATTGAAAAACCATCATAAACGAATTAAAGGGAAAATGACTAGGAAGATATTTTCAACCACCATAATAATATGTGTAGTCATGAACCTCCATAAGAAAAGATGAATATAATAGTCAAGATTGGATTTAGTTGCAAGAAACAGCAAAATGTACCACATGGCTTAAGAGATAAAAAGACTGTTTCACTTGGGTCACGAGAAGTCATCTGGGAATCAGTCCTGGGCTGATAGACTGACTCCAAATATCACTCATGTCCCAAGCCTTGGTGCATGCATTCTTAGTCAAGCTTTTACATTTTTTGTTTCAAAATAACTGCGGCATCTCTTGGCAATTGAGGTGGGAAGAAGGCAGAATGGGAGAAGAATGCATCAGAAAACTTATTTCTCACGTCAGCAAGGGAGGGTGAAACATAGAAACTTAAGTTGCACACTCTATAGAATCAAGTGAGTGGGAATCATGTTTCGTGACCAGGTTGGTCAAAAACACAGTGTTGGGGCCAGCACTGTGGCACAGCAGGTGAGGCCGCTGCCTACAGTGCTGGCGTCCCATTTGAACAACTGGTTCATGTCTTGGCTACTCCACTTCTGATCCAGCTCTCTGCTAATGTGCCCGGGAAATCAGAGGAGGTTGCCCAAGTCTTGGGCTCCTGCACTCATGTGGGAGACCCAGAAGAACCTTCTGGCTTTGGACTGGCCCAGCCCCGGCCATTGCAGCCATTTGGGGAGTGAACCAGTGGATGGAAGACTTCTCTCTCTGTAACTCTGCCTCTCCCATAAATGAACCGCCTCTTAAAAAAAAAAAAACACGTATCTGTCCATAGACATAGAAGAAAAAAGTCAGGAGATGAGCGATTAAAAGATATAAAAATCATACAAAAGTCGCTCTCCATAGGAATTAAAGTAATTTATGAAGAATTATTTGAAAAGTCCTTTATTCTTTGACCTGTCAGTTTTAATTTCAAGACTCAATTCTAATACAATAAAAACACAAGAGCCAAAGTTGTTGTGTAGCAGGTTAATCCGTTGCTTGTGACACCTGCATGCCATATCGGAGTGCTGGTTCACATTCTGGCTCTTTTGCTTCCGATCCAGCTTCCTCTTAATGTGTCTGGGAAGTCAGCACAAAAAAACCAAAGTACTTGGGCCCCTGCCACCCATGTGGGAGATTGGAATGCAGTTCCTGGCTCCTGGCTTTGGCCTCACCCACACTAGGCTGTTGAGGCTATTTGGGGAGTGAAAACAGTGGAATGGAAGATCTATCTCTCTGTCTCTCTCTCTCTCTGACTTTCAAATAAATAAATACATTTTAAGAAAGAAAAAGAAAACACTGACAAACATTTACTTTAGGCTGGTTATGAATGTTTTTTGTTTTAATTTTATTGGATAGAAAACTTGTAGGATTATTTGTCTATGCCAGTTAGCTTCCTTTGGGTTGCAAGGAACAGAAACATCTTCAGGTTGCCTCAGTCTGTGGTTTCTGTTCTAAGACCATACAAAGTAGAGAAAGAGTAAAATAAACTCATCAGCCACAGAGCTGAGAACAGGCAGCTGGGCCTCTCTGAGCACTGAACAGCTGTTCTGAGAAGAGGCGGCTCCCTCCCTCTTGTTGCCTTGGCCCTTAAGAGCCAATGTCTGCTCAGCACAAGGCTCTGCATTCTTGATCGTCAGCTTGGCTTTGCTTCTGCCCTTCTTCCACTTCCAGTTCCACTTCTCTTTCCACTGTGGCTAGCTCAGTGTTTCAGACCATTAGCTTTCCACAGCATTCTACCTCACTGGTCTCTGCTCATTAAAAAAAAAAAACAGCAAAAAAAAAAGGAAAGTGAGAGAGAGCAGAGCAAGCGAGATAGAAGAAAAACAGACACATATACACCCACACATAGAGCTCTCCTCCACTGGTCCACTCCCCAAATGCCTACAATGGCCTGGGCAGGGCCAGGGCTGAAACTGGGGGCCTGGAACTCATTCCAGGTCTCCCATGTGGGTGGTAGGGATCCAGTTACTGGAACTACCACTGTTTAGCAGGAAGCTGCTTTAGTGGGAAGCTGGATGGAGCTGGGAGCTGGAGCTAGGTATGGAAGCAAGGCACTCCAATGTGGGATGCCGGCATCTGCGCTGCCAGGTGAAAGCCCACTCCTCTCACTCTGATTCAAGGATTGTGTGAAGCTAACACAATAGAGATTGAAATTAACCATGAACAATATTGAAGTGCTTATAAAAGTGCTTACTTCTTATGCATTACAATAAAAAGGAACATTTTAGGCTAAACCAGCCAGAATGATGTAGCAAGATTCTTTATAATTTTATTTCAGTTTGTTCTTAAAGAAGCAGGGTAGGTTAATTGTAGAGCACTTGTGAAATACAGAAAAAGATACAAAGGAATACAATCACCAACACTTTCACAGTCCAAAGGTAACCATTATTTACACTTCAGTGTTTTTCTTAGGACTTTTTATCTGGGATAGTTCTGTTTTCTCCTCCCCACCCCCAATTTTAGGGTGGAAAAACTTCTGTTATTTGAGTAACCAAAGATTAGAGAGAGTATTTATAACCAAATATAAAAATGAAGTAAGTTACATATTTTAGTTGATGCCCAGTGTGTGAGACCAAATATGAACAAAACTCAAACATCAGGTACTGCTAAGTTCTCTCCATTTAAGGCAAAACCTCAGAAATTCAGTCAAGTGCTTTTTATTATTTCTCCATAAGCTGATCTGAAACTTAGCTCTGAAATGCAAATGAAAAAAGGTTGCCAGGCAAATTCCTGGTGTAAACAAAATGACCAAGGACATGTTTGACCTGTGTGAGAGCTCTTAAGGATTTTTAAATAGCTTAACAGAAGTCGTAAGTGCTTCTAGGCACATTAATTACTGGTTTTCAATGAGTCTCATCTGTTCACTAAAGTTTGTCAACTAGAATGGAGAATAGTGAGAGAGGAAATAGGTTTATGTTCCAAAATATGCTTTGAAATCCAAAACCAAAACGTGTAATCCAGCATTTTGTTCCCATTTCTAAGCAGTCCAAATGGTGTCCACCATTACTAAATAAATGTTTGTCCAGTGAAAACAGGCCTTTGAATGTTGGAAGTCACACTTAACAAGAATATAACACATGATTTACCACTTCGGTCTTTTCCTTTAAGGAAAATTTTACATCCCTTGACCATATTTCTCATGTCACCATAGTGACCATAGTCCATTACTTTACTTTTCCTGTAAGCTCTATTCTTACTGCTTTTTCAACTTCTGGCATAATGTTCAGCCCCTACCCAATATTTTTCCAGGAATATTTGTTGGTTGAGTGCATGCACCAACACAGTTTCATGGATACATTACATTTGTTGAGACCCTGTTCTTTGATGCTCAGCTTCCTCAGCACTTACTGATCCCCTTAGAAGAGACGATGATTAGTCTAATGATTATGTAAAGTCACTGAAACAGGCGTAGCAAGAGATTAAAAAGGTCTTAATAGGGAGATATATATGCATATATATATATATGAGTTCTAGAATTTTTTTTTAACTTTTATTTAATGAATATAAATTTCCAAAGTACAGCTTATGGATTACAATGGCTCCCCCCCCCCCATAACTTCCCTCCCACCCGCAACCCTCCCCTTTCCCACTCCCTCTCCCCTTCCATTCACATCAAGATTCATTTTCGATTCTCTTTATATACAGAAGATCAGTTTAGTACATACTAAGTAAAGATTTCAACAGTTTGCACCCACATAGAAACACAAAGTGAAAAATACTGTTTGAGTACTCGTTATAGCATTAAGTCTCAATGTACAGAACATTAAGGACAGAGATCCTACATGAGGAGTAAGTGCACAGTGACTCCTGTTGTTGACTTTACAAATTGACACTCTTGTTTATGGCCTCAGTAATCTCCCCATGCTCCAGTCATGAGTTTCCAAGGCTATGGAAGCCCCTTGAGTTCACTGACCGATCATATTTATACAAGGTCATAGTCAAAGTGTTGAAACTTAACTGAAAAGTGATCCCTGTTAAATATAAGAGTGGGAATAAGAGAGGGAGGAGATGTACAATTTGGAACATGCTCAAGCTGACTTGCCCCAAACGGTAGAGTTAGAAACATACCAGGGGATTCCAATTCAATCCCATCAAGGTGGCATGTACCAATGCCATCTCACTAGTCCAAGTGATCAATTTCTGTTCACAATTGATCATAATGATAGGACTAAGAGTCAAAGGGATCACATAAACAAGACCAGTGTCTGAAAATACTAACCGATAGAATAAAAAAGGGAGAGAAAGATCCAACATGGGAAGCGGGATACACAGCAGACTCGTAGAATGGCGGATATCCTAAACAGCACTCTGGCCTCAGAATCAGCCCTTAAGGCATTCGGATCCAGCTGAAAAGCCCATGAGAGTATTTCAGGCATGGAAAGCCAAGACACTCTGGAAAAAAAAAAAAAAAAACCCTAAATGAAAGATCTCCACGAGTGAGATCCCAGTGGAAAGAACAGGTCATCAAAGAAGGAGGCACCTTTCTCTGAAGGGAGGAGAGAACTTCCACTTTGACTATGACCTTGTCTAAATATGATCAGAGTCAGTGAGTTCTAGAATTTAAAGGCTGTGTAAGGCAGGAATTTGGTGTAGCAGTTAAGATGCCATTTCTGGTGCCCGTATGCCATATTGGAGTGGTTGGGTTCTAGTCCTGGCTCCAACCCTGATTCCAGCTTCCTATTGATGTACATGCTGGAAGTTGATGGCTCAAGTGGTTGGATCGCTGATGCCCATGTGGGAGGCTTGCATTGTGTTCCAGGCTCCTGGCTTCAACCTTTTCCAGTTCTGGCTGTTGCAGGCATTTAGAGAGTGAACCAGTGGATGAGAGATCTCTTTCTGTCAGTTTGTTTGTCTGTCTCTCTCTCTGCCCATCAAACAAATAAGATACATAAATACAAATTAAAAATATATAAATTGGGAGCCAGCACTGTGGCGTAGTAGGTTAAACCTCCATCTGTGATAGGTATGCTGTATGAGCTCCTTTTCGTGTCCCAGCTGCTCCTCTTCTGACCCAGCTCTCTGCTATGGACTGGGAAAGTAGTAGAAGAAGGTCCAAGCACTTGGGTTCCTGTACCCTGGGAGACCTGGAAGAAGCTCCTGGCTCCTGGATTTGGATCAGCCCAGCTCAGGCCATTGTGATCATTTGGGGCATGAACCAGCAGATGCAAAACCTTTCTCTCTCTGCCTCTGCCTCTTTGTACTCTGCCTTTCAAATAAATACATAAATCTAAATATGTACATATAAATGGGAAACTGTGAACAAGCTAAAGAAAACCCACATTGTGTCAGTGTTCATTGGCAAAATAGTTTACCATAAGTAAGATTTTAATCTATTTTAAAATATTTTATAAGAAAGACTTATTCTTACTTATAATACTTTTCAATATTTCCTACTGGTAGAATCTTTATGAAGTCAGAAATATAGATTTTTAACAAAGATCTAGCATCTGATAATTTTTTTTTACCATCTAGTCCTTAAATTTTCAATCCATTTCATACTTTTTATTTGGCAGAAACATCATTCTTGCCCTCTCACCTATTTAACTACTTTTTGCTCGAAGGACACCAGAGCCTTCTGGTCCTATAATCTGCAAACTTCCTCAGAGAAATGTTAGGCAGGTCACAAAGCTCCCTGGCTCATAGACCCTTATGTGATCTTTCTGGTTTCTCACAACAATCTCGGCAAGTAACCTTGGCTCCCACTTCCCCAGGAGCTGTTGCTGGACAAGAAGACCTCAACTTCCTGTTTCCGAACCCATATGTTAACCGCATCAACTTGACCTCTTTAGCTGAATTCTACTAAAATTATTCAACCAATCTGGAATGGAAAAACATGGAGTTGGCATGCTCTTCAACAAGGTCTTCAGCCTTACTGGCAAAGTCAAAAGTATGGGGCAAATAGGATTGCCAAAAAAACCCAGCAAGTGCAAGGTTAACTTTTAAACTTCAGTTAAGTTCTAAGAATGCATTCCTAATTTTTATGAAAATCACACCCTTAGGAGCACTGTCCATATTTAAATTAGATAGTAATTGAAGAATGAATACAGATAAATTACATTCATAAACACATATTAATTGTAATTAAACATCTTTGCCCCAAAACAAAAACAGAAAAACAGCTGCATGCTGTTAGAACTGAACTGACTAGTCAGTGTACAAATTAGCAAAGAAATGATTATAGTTGACTTGGTTCAAATTCCTTTTTAATGTACTACCACGATGGAACTCTGAATTATGTAGGTTTGAATTCTCTCTGATTTGGGAAAGTCATTTGTAGCACAAAACTATATAATCATCCACCAAATTTTCAGTTTCAGATAGTTGGTTACTCTTCTATTCATATTGAGTATGGATATTATGCAATGTTTTGGTTTAGATTAAATGGTCTGTCAATGATTTCACAAATTTAGAAAGATTCCTAAGACCAGTACAACAACAGCTCTACTTTATCATAGGTATCCAGTAACAGCACAATCACAAAATCATAGCATTTTAAAGCTGGAAGGAACTAGCAAAAACCATTTACTTAGGGCTTGAGTTGTGGCATAGCAGTCAATCTCCCACCTAGGATGCTTGCATCTATATAGACTGCCTGGGTTCAAGTCCCACCTCCGCTTCCAATCAAGGCTCCTACTAACACCCACCCTGGGAAGTAGCACGTGAAGCCTCAAGTACTTGGGTCCCTTCCACCCTTGTGGGAAACCTGGACTGAGTTACTGGCTTCTAGTTTTGTCTTGACCCAGCACTA